AACTCTGCAATTATTTAAGTTCTTGTTTCATTCAATTATATTTTGTTATGTTCTGCATTAAAATATTAATAAAATTAGCTTTCAAATAAAGTGCCACACTTCACTATGTATTGGTAACAGATTTTTATTCAGCTAGAGGGCGCTAAAATTAAAAGTAAAGCAATGAGTAGCTATATTGCTAAATTATCCTTTTCTTCCTATTCAATTCAATTTCCTATTTAAATTGCATTGGTTAGAGTGACGGAGGGGAGGGGAATGACATATGACAGTTGGGGTCCTCCTCTAAACTAAAATCCAAGTGTTTTTAACATCTACGAGATTAATACCCAAAACCCCCATGTCAAATTTTCGTTTGGCCACTTTGTATAAGCAACTTACACAAAGTCTACATAAAATTCAGATGACGCTTAGTAAACATTTTTTTTTCTTTAATACAAAACATAATTACTCAATTTGTTTAACATACACTTTACCGCCATACTATTTTTTTTGGTAAATATTTAAAAATTCTTTCAAGAAAAAATATTAAATTATTAATTTTATCCTGCATTTCCCAAAATAAGAAGAGCCTTGGAAAATAGTATGATGCAGAGATGTATAGATACGTTGATGTATTTTTCGTTTATGTTCTTTTTAAACTGAAATGTCAAAGTCTTAAATAACAATCAGTAGATGTTCTAAATAATAAATATAAATTATTCTAATTTTTTCTAAACTGAAAATTACTTGAGGTAAAAACTAAATTTATTAAAATTTAAGCTAAAGTTTTGTGACCTCAACTCCTATTAGTAGTGTTGTAAAGAAATTGACTTCTCAGTTCTAAATATGTACATTTTATAAATAAACTTAACTGGGAAGGGTTTTAGGATAGATTTAGTGTATATATTATGGATATTAAAAACAAATTTCTCAAGCAAATATTTTTAAGCTACAACCAAAAATGTATTGCATTTATTTTTTAGTAATCAAAACTATTTTTATACGCCATTGCTTAATTCTTAAATATTGTAAACCACTATAATAGGCTAATACATGAGAAACTTGTTTTTAATTAAATCAAAATTAGCTTAAAATTAATTAATTGGCTTTTGTAGTAAAACGAAAAGCTGAACAAGACCAGCGTTTAATTATATTCGTTAGTCTAGATCCTGGTTCTCCTGCGCTCATCGAATCCCGTTTTGAAGAATAAGGAGCAGACTTTTTTGTACCTCCTTTCAATATACGTATTTTACTCGGTTTTTTTTTGAGAAATAAGGAAATTTTTGATATTTCTCTACCTGTATATTGTGTATATTTTTGTAGAAGCTGCAGTTATAATTATATTGTCCCCTGTGTATTGTTTGAACTATTCGTTAATAGTTTCTAAAAATTTAAGGGATGTTTGGTGAAAGAAAAATTTTGAAAACAGTATACGTGATTGACTTTCACATGTATGCAAGAAATTATCAATAGTTGACAATAGGCCGATAGTTTTTTTAAATATATTTTTTATTGATATCGATTTTAAAATGCAAGTATGATTATTTACAACAACTGTTACATTTAAACATAAATTTTGTTTAACACTAAAAATATATTATAGGGTTAATATTTTACTTGCAGATTCTATAGTGGAAAACACAGATTTTTTGTTTAATAACTGGGGGTTAAATATTAATACGGATTCTGTTGAACAAAGATTGGTAACATAGCGCCATCTATGCAATATACCTAAAATTATAGCTTATTCGTTTTTCTCACGTCAAAAAAATATCCTACTGATTTTTATGTTTATGTATGAAAAAACAACTGACATACCAACATTACTGAATCATTTTTTAACTTTAATCTTAGTATCTAAGTACCTAACAATATTTGATTCCCAGTTATTGAGCGAAAAAATAATATTTTTCGCTATAGAATCTATAGGTAAAATATTACTCATTACTTATAATAACATCTTATATTCTTCAGATACAAACTATTTACTCATGTCTAAAAACTGGCGGATTGATAAAAAAAATTCTTTGTCGTAGAATCATAACATCAAAACATGTTACTGCAAGAAAAGAGTAGAAAATATTATAGTCAAGTATTTATTTGCTGTAGTGTTGTCAGGACAAGTTTAAAGCTCCCTGACAAGTCTGCAGCTTCTTGTTTCATTCCATCTTTCCTTGAATTTTAGAAGGGGACATTCTTTAATTAGTTTTATCACTACCGATGTTGTCAGTCCAATAGAAGGGCCAGGTCCAAAAAGAATTTGGTTGGCTGCCTTCTTGGCTAGTAAATCAGCAATACGGTTACATTTCGATGTGGCGTGACCTTTGATCCATCTTAAGTTGACCGCATTGTTGATGGATACTTTGGCCAAAGCTTCGTGACGTTCTAGTACTAACTCTGAGTAAATTCGTGGTCTGTCCAGGGCGAGGAGTGCTTGTCTGCTATCTATATATATAAGCATATTGCTTCCAGTGATATTATTTCTAGTAATTTGTTTTGCTGCTATGAGAAAACCCGTATTGAACTGTCGATGTAGATGTGAATCATACATGCCATTTCCGGCTCTTTTATTTATTCTGTTAAAACTTTATATGGCTTATGGAAGATATATCTCGGTGAGATGGTGTCTATGTTTGCTTGAAGCAGTGGGAGTGTATCGAGTGCCTCTTGCCAAAAGCGACGTCTCGCTTCACCAGATCCTACAGGTTCTATTCCAACCATGAGGAGGCGTGTCATTGTCATCATAGCAACCTCCTTGGTGTAAATATCAATGGAATTGAGACTAAAAATAATTTCCATGGCTCGGTGTGCTTTTCATGGTTCCTATGATGTTAAGACATGCTGTTCTTTGAATTTGTTCTAGTTTGCAGATAGCTGTCAATTGGGTACCTAGACAACTGCACCGTATGTTAGCATAGGTCTCATGATGGCCGAGTAAGTCCATGCGACGACTCTGGGGAAGAGACCACAGGTGCGCCCCACGGTTTGACGGCATTGTTCATAAGGAATGTATGCTTTTTTAACTATGTTTTCTAGGTGTGAGTTCTATGTTAACTTGCTATCAAAAGTGAGGAGACATAAAACCGGAGTGAGTAAATTTTTGCTGGGCTTCTACATATTTAGTTGGAATATTACATTACAGGATCGACAAAATGTCTGCCTGAGCTGTATTCTACCGACCTTTGTTGGTGATTAAACCTAGTAGTCGGTAGTCAAGACGTGGTTCTAGGATAATGCATTATTAATATTAAGATGTTTTTAAGATTAAGATTCAATATTTTGGGAGAAAGTATTGAAATATACATAATATCAAAAATAAAACTATTTACTATGGCTGAAGAAATTAAGAGGAATTTGTTGAATTTTTGTGTTCCGTTTTTAATTCATTTCTCTATCGCAGGATGTTAGGTTCTCTGAAGTTCTTGAGAGCGGAGAATAAGTTCATTTGATGGTGAAAGGTACCCGTATATTGATTGTGGGTCTTTGTTGATTTTCTTTAAATTTGAACATATTAATAGATTGGTCAAAAGAAGCAACTTTCTTAGGGCCACCAACTTTGCAGCTTTATAAGGTGAGTCATCACTAGAACCCGATCAAGTTAATTGAAGAATATGAATAAATATACATTAATTTTGACTTTTCTACTATAAATGCAGCATCAGTGATACATAATCAACTTACTTCTTATTTTTAATGGATAGCAATTAGTCAGTACGTATCATTAACTTGTAATAATGGACTACCAGTATCTATCTATTAATTTTCTTCAGAATATTGTTTTACTTAAAATCAACACAATTACATTGTTTTAATTTTCATTAATAAACTACCACATCTTCATCTTATGAGATTTTCATTAAAACACCTGTTATAATTTTCTTACTAGTTCATTATTCATAAAAATTGGGTCCTGAGTAATATGGCTAATTTTGACAGCAGCCTACTATGCATTAGCTTTCTGTATATCACGTTCACTCTCTAACAACAGCCTACTTTTTATTATAATGAAAATATAGGTTAGGATACTTTCGGCTATTTCAATATTTATGAAAGTTGTTGTAAGGGGAAAGGTACTCATAAGTAATTTCTACTGGTGCTGCATTTTTAGTAAAAAAGTCTAAATAAATGTAGATTTATCTTTAATTAACTTGATCGGGTATGCGGACTACTGATCGCCCTGTAATGTTGCAGATTTGGTATCCATGAAAAAGTTTCTCCTGTTGGCCTATATATTATGTCAAAAATAAAAAAATTAATCGACAGATATTCAAAATCAGTGTATTTGGTGCGGATACTTCTATAATTTTAAATAAATAATTTATGTTTAAAGGAAAAATAATGTTTTATTAATGATACTTATGTGACGAGTCACAAGAAATTCCTTTTTTGTACTAACAACAGTTGTTTAAAAATATAGTTTGTTAATTTTGAAACCGATATCTTTGCTCTTATAATTTTGGTAAAAGCTAACCGATAAATTTGGGACAAAGAATGAATTTTTATTTTACTTTCCCAGTATTTACCAACATGTTTTATTAAAGTTATTTAGTATCTCAGAGTACATCGATCGAATACGTAAAAGTTTGTAAATTTCTTCTTTGCACCAAAGTTCTTAGAATTTTGCAGAAACTGATTTTAGCACATACAGAAATGTGTTGTTCACCTTAGTTCTTTCTTTTGTCTCCACTATCCCCGTCAATGTTCTTACTGTGCAAGCTTATCTAATTTTCCATATTTCTACTTTCTACTAATTGGCTGCCTTAGCAAAATTGTGTGTGTTTGTGTTTGTGATCAGTAAATATACCTATAATTATTTTTATTATTTTAATTTTTTTTTTCATCACATTCGCACCTTTACTAACGATTTTTTTTTAGTTTGTTACCTATACTTTTGAAAATTCTTAATTTTATTTACAAAATTATTGTACTAAGCAAATCTAATGACCAAAAGTATAGGTATCATCAATTATGTCTAAGTTAACAATGAGACAGGGCTTTAACATATTTTGTATTTTTACTAGATCTCGGAACTGAACAGCCAAGTAAACGACCTCAGAGGCAAATTGTAAGTACTAATTTCTTCTTTAATCAAATCTATATTTCTATCGGACACTGTTAGCATCTTTGTCCTTTACTAACTATAGTAAGGGAATCATTCTGGTCCTTTTAACACGTCTTGTATGGTTGAAGAAATATAAACGAGTGTATAGCTTATGATTAGTGCAGGAGCACTGAAAAGATTGAGTACATTCATTGTATATTTTCACTATTATTATTAGTTATTATTTTAGCACCTATTTTGATATCAAATTAGAGAGCAGGTTGATGAAGTTCATAGACTAATAAATAATATCTCAATGAGATAAATGAAACTCAAAATCTATACAATATACAATAGTTTAATAAACTATTTGATGTGCCTGAAACCATTTTTAAGCGTGTAGTTACAAAATATGATTACATAAATTTAATTTGTACACGCCTATTAAATATGAAATAAATAAAGTTTTATAGTGGTAGTTAAAATTAATAAAAAAGACTATTAAATAGAGCTGTGTTGCAAAACAGCGCCAAACAAATTAGCACACTACAAATGACCGTTAACGAAATTGCTCTGCGACAAAACAGCGCCAAGACAACAGGTCACCGTAACATGTCGCCTTCCTGACAAATAGGCTCCAACACAATATAGCACCGTACAATAAAGTGTTAAAAAATACAATTTGAATAGACGGACTGGGACGGTAAAGTAGCTGATAGTATTATCACAGTGGGGGTCCCCTAATCCCACAAATGAACTCAGAAGGTTGAATTTAAATATAAAATATATAGAAGAAAATATTCTTTATTACCTATTATTAAAATAAAAAAAAAAAACTTTAATTTACCCAACCTGTGCGGCCTGAAGCCATTAACGAGCCAGCCAGATATTTAGCATTATTCAATTTAAAAATGCTGAAACATGTTTATTTTTAATCCAAAGGGAAAAAATATTTTTCTGGTAGACATTTTTCAAATGTTAAATTGACACCCTGTATATTTTTATCTTTGACTCTTCTGTATCTGTAACGTGTGAAGGGTGAGTTACCCCCCACGGCACTTAGGCCTCATTAGGCCCATTGTGTATCCTAAGATGATAGGCACATCCTAGCTCGTGCGCCAGCCTACAGATTTAATGTAGTTGACAACGTCGCCAAGAGGTATTTCTCTTATATCGGCCGGTGTTAGCCGAAACTCGCCGAACACAAATCTTCTAATAAATGAGAGCGTCGAGCAATCGTAAAGGATATGCTCGATGGTCTCATCTTCTTATTCGGACCCTCTGCAGAGTGCGAATTCTGACAGCTCCATGATATGGAGATGCTTCCGTACTTGGCAATGACCAGTCTTTGACTGTTGTTAGTTAATATTATTTATTGTTTATAATATAAAGTTATAATTTCAAGGTAGTTAAGATGTTTTGTTTTATTTAATTAATTTATACATTTTTATGCATAAGTTTCCTTATTGCCACATTTTATTTATTATCGCAATTTTGTATCAGCACTTTGTTGTCGTGGCACAATTTTGTCCTAGCACAATTTTATCTGGTGTTGAATTATCCGCCTTTATTTAGTCCAGTGCCATTTTATGCTAATTTGTCGCAGAGCTATTGATGTTAAGTCAAGGCTAATTTGTCCGTCATTGTTTTGCAACAGAGGTATTAAATAGAACTATTATGAATATTTCATTGGGAAATAGTAAAACGGAGAAGGCAGTAGTGGTTATTAACATTATAACATTGAAGCTTTTGGATATACCTATATGCTTTGTATCGTATCTAGAAGATATTATGTATGTAGGTTAGGATGGATGGCATGTAGTGGGTAATGTAATTTGATATTAACCAATAAACGACCATGTATAAGTAAAGGAATTACAGCAAAAATCAACCATATCATCAATAGAGCGTTGGTTGAATGCTGAAAGAACCCATACTCGATATAAGTAGAGTTTCCCAGATTTACTGGAACAAACAAATGTATGGCGTAGATGAGGAGGCGTAAAATGGTGGTTACTATTGATACGCATGGGCATCAAAACTATAAGTCGGAAAATCTATCTTCAGCCGACCCAAACTCAACTTATATCGAGTATGGGTTCTTTCCACATTAAACCAACCCTCTGTTACATGGTTAATTTTTTTACTGTTTTTCCTTCGCTACGTGTTCGTTTACTAGTTAGTGTCCAATTATGTTGTCCACTACGTGTCATCCATCCTAACCCTGCATAAAATTTCTTTTATAGACGATAAAAAGCCTAAATATCCAGAAGTTTCAACGTTACAATGTTTAGAACCACCACTGCTTTCTTCGTTTTACTATTTCCCAATTAGTTTAGTCAATTTATTAGTTTTAAGTATCACACTACCGTAATACTACATTATTTTCGTATTTAATAGTAATGTATTAATGTACTCATTAAAATCTCTTTATTTTAAAGCCATATTTTGGAAAAAATTAAAACATCACTTACCCACATCAAATCGTATTGTTTATTCCTAATCAATCTGATGGATCTGCCCTCTATCTATAGGTAACTAAATTCTTATAGTGAAGTAAGTGTATTTACTGCTGAAACTCATTCGTTACTATGATTGGTTCATATGAGCGTGTTTGTGTTCGGTTTTAAAGGGCTTGGCCAAATCAGATTACATTGTTTTAAAATATTAACAAAAAAAACACGTAACACTTGATCTATGCAGACTCAAGACTCAAAAAGTTTGAGTCCACGTTGACTAGACACCTTTGTGTCAACAATTTTGTAGCATCGGCTGGAGAATATACAGTTTAGGAAAAATTATACGAGCCACAGGATATAGGCACAGCCATCTATAATCTTTGTGTACAACGCCTACCACATCTCCTATCTCCTGCGCACTCAAAGAAAGTTCCAATTTAGTAATGCATACACTATTGTGGGGTAAACAAATAAAATATTTACATAATTACTCTGATTCTAAAATTATCAATTATTTGCAAGTGAAAAATAATAACTTGATTTTGAATTAAATCCAAATATTTTTAACCCTTACGTTTGCCATCAATGAAAAAGGGCTAATAGTGTCGTTCCTTAAAATACCAGTACAAACATTTAATTTCTGAAGATTCTGTGAGCATTTCGGAGTACCTTATTGTTTATTTTCCCGAGAACAATGTCTCACTACGGATGAAGTATGTTTGTTGTGCGATAAAAAGTTCACTCATCGGTGAATAAAATAAATTTAAAAAAGTTTTCATTTTGATTCTGCCAATTCATCATAAATTCGCCAAACTCCATCCATCTGAATTTATTCTACAAAAGTAAAATAAACACAAAGTAAAAAATTATAGTATACTTATTGTGACGAGTATTTTTATTGTACATATTCACCGATTCGATTACGATGCTCCTCGACGTGTTACGAATATTGCTTGCATTTAATAGAAATGCACGTACCTACACCGTATGGCTCGAATACTTTTTTCCTAATATGTATATGTTTTTACGGCTTTTAAGTTTTCAGTATATCGGTTTCTTCAATCATACAATCCTATAAATATTTGTTTAAAGAATTGAAATAATAATTATTAGGTAAATGAAAAACTAAAAATTTGTTAGATAGCCATTTTGTTACTTACAACTTGAGATATTCAGATGATATAGTTCCAAAAAGAATTGTCTCGATTTTTAAATGTTGTTATGCTCAATTTTTTAAAGTCGAATACAATAATTTTTAGATATTTCGGTGATATTAATTTTTGAAAACATCTCAAAAAAAATGGAAGTATAAAATATATTAAATTATAAACTACAAATTAAATTATTATTCACGTTCTTATTTCATTTTTTTTAAGTATTTTATACTTATGTATGTTTGTTTTCGTCCTATATCTTTTACAAAATAATTTTTAGTCCATGGTAATAACCAACTCATTTGTCTTTACCGATATAACAAAAAAATTATAGTAAAGTTTATAATAACTATAATAAAATATAATTTTTAGCGTCAAACCAACATTGAAGAAGGTATCCAAATATGAAAACAAATTCGCCAAATTACAAAAGAAAGCCGCCGAATTCAACTTCCGTAACCAACTTAAAGTTGTTAAGAAGAAGGAATTCACCTTAGAAGAAGAAGATAAAGAGGTAAGTTTAATTTCTGTTCAATAATTTCAGATTTGAATCGAGGTTTTCATTATTCACTATTTTTTCTATTTTGTGAGACTCACTTTCACTGTTTTTAATTTTAGTTTCCGTCAGCTGACAAAAATTAAATTACACACTAATTGGCATTAAATTAAAGAGATTCAACTGTTGGTTTTCAAAATACTTAATCTAATCTTCATCGAAATTTAAACGATTTATATGTCATAACGTCAAAGTTTTGTTTGTAGGTTTCCTATATTAGAATAAAACGGGGCATTTGGTGCATTAATTTTGTTTATCATTTCCTCTCAAACGCAGCCTTTAATAGGATTTAAAAGTATTTAAATAACCATAATTATCACCTCTTATAATAATTTTAAACATTTTCATAAGTATAGGTACTCGCATTCTAGCTAAATAATTTGTTGTAGTTATCTTAACATTTGCCATATTCGATTTCTTTTAAATGATTTTGATTGGTCAACCAGTTAAGTAATATCTGAATGTGTTGTTCCATTATGTAAATGTGTTGTCCATTAGAGATTGGACTCCCTCAATTTGCCTCTATATAATATCCAGTCATTGTTTAAAATTAACGTCTGGTGGTTGCTGGCACACATCATAATGGGAAAAGAGTAAATGTTGGACCTAATGCATTTATTAGCTAAAGTTACCCGATTGTTAGTAATAATTCTGAATCTAACCGTTGATTATTCCTTTTGTGTCATTGCATATATTCCTGCGCTCTTTGGTGTTCACAGTGCCTTTATTGATATAAATGTGTATTTATATTAACGTGTATATCAGATCTTGAACGCGTTCTCAAAGTTATACTAAAGAATAATCTATATGGAATATGCATTTGATTATAAACTACATGAAATTTAATATAATAAAATTGTTTTTTCTTTTCTAAATCCATCTATGACTCAATATTTCACAGAACTACAAAGTACAACATCTGACTTTATTAATCGAAGATTAAGTCTATCACTTACAACTTTCCGTTTTGACTTATAAATCGTTTAATGTAAAATTTTGATTTCATAATATGAAGGTCACTAGCTACCACTTTTATTATAATATATACGCTATGCAACAGTGGATTCAAAATAAAATAAAAATAATTTTTCGAAAATTATGCTGACTTTTAACGTTACTGTTCCATTACAGTTTTTAACATATAAAGTAATCGTCGTTGTTTAAAAAATATATTAATAATGTTCTTCCACCATCTCTATGGTTTTAAATAACTGGACTAGTCTTAAAAATTAGCTTTACTGAAATCTTATTACAAATAGCTTTTAATCCCCTTCAACATAATCCCTTTTCCTATCTATACACCGCTGTATAAGAGTTTTCCACTGTTCAAAGCAGTACCGTAGGTCATTAAGTGTCACCTTCTTCAGTAAGTCTGCCATTTTTCCTTCACCTCTTCTGCAGACTGAAAATGTGTTCCCCTCAATGCTCTTTTTACTTTTGGAAACAGAGATCTGTGAGTACGGTGGATGCTCAAACACAGTAATGCGTTTGTACGCTAAGAACTATTTTAGAGAGCTTTGTGCGCCGAGTAGCTGTCTTGGTGCAAAATTAACGGGTTCTTGCTCCACAGATCTGGTCTTTTCTTCCTCAATCTTTCTTTATGTATTGTTAGGACCTTAGTAGTACTGCTAGTTTACAGTTTGTCCCTGAGGTACCCATGTTTTCATCAGTTCTTGATGTCACGGGTCGAGCAGGACGTTCGTCATGTTCAAAAACTTTCCGACCTTACGAATATCGTTTGAGTCATACAACATTTTGACTACGTGTCATGAAATTATCTCCAAACACCTCCTTTAACAATTCAAAACATTCAGTTGAAGATTTGTTTTATTTCAAGAGTAACTTAATTAATGCTGCACTCCGATACAAAAACGTCTTACTCAAACAAGGATTAAAAACAAACTAAACTAGATAGAAGGACGAAATAACGTGTCAATTATACTGAAAGCATCAAGGTTAACTACATTCTATTCCCGCTCCTCTAAACCAAGCCTAACGGCTAAGGCATGCACAGTCCAGTTATTTAATTGTCTTACCTCGTAGTTATTTATTTTTTAGAAAGCAAACTGTTATTAAAATATCTTTTCTCCACTTAAAAATTTCTCCAAATGGGAATTTCCATTCTCTGCCTTTTTAACAATATCACCATCTTCTCGATATTTTCCCATGGCATCAGATATATTTTTTTTTTTCTCATTGCGTTTTGTGCCATTTCAATTCCTTCGTATCACTATCAACAGTTTCCAATAACTTTTCCTTGGTTTTCCTCTCTTATTTCTTTTTTCAATGTGAAGTCCTTATCTCCTTTTATCTGATCATGTTCCAACCACCTAAACTTGTTTATCTTCTTACTTATACGTACTTATAGGCGCAACTCTTAAACTGTCCCTTGTACTAGTGAAATGATCACATCGCCTTCCACTGCGACCCAGTGAATCATGCTTAAGTTATAGTTCCACGCCTTCTGAGTTGAGTTCGCCTTCGAAGAGGAATCCCAGCACTATCGCCTCAACTCAAAACACATCTTGTTTTTCCGGCATTCGTTCTCACTCTTATCTGCCTGTCAGCTTATGTGTCTGTCCATAATCTTTCTCCTTTTTCTTTTTGTCATAATTTTATTTATGAGATGTATGATTTTCCATGTGTTTTTTTCTGACGTCATTACTATTGTAAGGTTTTGGGGTATTATGTCCTCATACACAGAGACACGCTTCTCTTCTTTCATGTGTTTTTGACATCACACGTCTTCTTGCAGTAAATACAGGCTTCGTCATTTGTCTTGTCTGTCTTTTGTTTTGGTGTACGTTTAAAAAGAGTCTTGCCAGGTCAGGATTGGTAGTTAATCTGGCTGTCTGCACTTTGTCCATGTTAACACGTCTGAGAGTTTAAAAGCCTTAGTCCACTGTTCAGTTGCTGTGAGCAAGCTTTAGTCTTGCTACCACTATTTTTGGGTAATTCTTCTCTCAGCTGCCTTCATTTTCTGTATTTGTAATCCCACCCTCTCTTCTGCAAGGTGGATTGAGATGGTCCCGTAATTACCCTTACCATCTCCAACGATACCATGCGGCAGGCACTTGCTATTCGCATTGCCGTTTTTCCTTGTATCCATTCCATCATGCCTTTATATTTGGCGGATGATCACATTGCCATCCACTGCCATCTAGTTGTATTGTGAATCATGAGCAGAGCCCTCTGATATCTTTCCATCACATTTCACTCTCTGTCAATCATTCTTTTGGTAGTGCTCTTTACAATACCAAGGAATAGCTCTGATCCTGTGAACTCAGATTTGGTTCCTCGTTTAATGAGCACGTCGGCTTTTCTATTGCCTTCGACACCGCTGAATTCCGTAACCCAGGTCAAAGTAACTTTGTTCCGGGCACCGAGACCCTCTAGGGAGGGTATTTATAGTTCCAAACTAGCTTTGATTCAACTCGGTTTGAGTTGAGGGCTTTGAGGGCTGTCTGGCCATCCGAAAATATCTTTATAGTTTGTATAGCGAGCATTTCTGCTTCGAAGATCGTAGCAAAAGTATTCAGGTTTATTGATATGTCAACTCTTGATGTTTTGCGAAAACTCCTGCTTCTTCTACTTTTTTCGCGGAGTCTTTCGGGAAAAGAGGAATATTGCCCCATTCATTTCTTTCTGAAATGTAGTTGCTTCATGACTTTTCTATGTGCTTGCGGGAAGTAGCGAGTTTGAGGCCATAGGAAGAATGTGGTAGTCCCCTAATACTAAAATATTTATTTCTATTGTTTCCTGTCTTCTAACTGTGCTCCACGTCGCAACATCCTTATCGTAAAAGTTGTATTCATTAGATTACATCACGAAGCAATAAAATAAAAACGTGACGTTTTCTGTTTATATTTGAAAAAAATTAATCAAATTTATAGTGGATGATTAACGTTTACGGAACAGCATAGTGATTTTTAAACTTATTGTGAATGATATAATCCGATGATTCCAATTTCTTTATCAGCCTTTCAATTACCATCTCGCAGAACTTCATTCTATTTCACAATACTTGTTTGATTTCCAATAAACAATTCATAAATATTTTCCTATTGTATCAACAAATCATCCTATAGCTTAGACTTTTACATTTGTTATGCGATTTGGATTCATTTGGAATTGTATTCGACCGAAAACATGTACTTTTTGTTACAATGTCGTTGCTTTATAAGTTAACAACTTTAATGGACAGTAAATATAAACAAAGGTTCGCAGAAGTGTATTAGAATATGCATTTGTTTTTCGCAGACCAAGAAAGCCGATAAAGCTGAGTGGCAGACGAAGAAATGAACTACTTAATCAACGTTTATTTTTTTGATTTTACAATATTACAAGATTTTTTGAATTATACACACACATTACACTTAATAAATTATTAATAAATATACTAGTATTTTACTAGTTTGACCAACAACAGCAGCTGATTTTTTTTAAAATATCTTTTTTATTTTTTGCCCTTTTTTTACTTTTTTATTGGATTAAGCCTTTAGAACAAGGTGAGCTCTGCTTTAGCTTTGTGCTGGACTTTATATTACACTAGTACTTTTACACTTTTTAGAACGAATAAAAGTAAGGACAAGAACAGAAATTGGTTTTAAAAATAAAATTCTTTTAATTTTATACATATAAATATATCAGACGTAAAACAATTTTGTTACTAATATTTAATTTTAAATATTTCGTATATTAGATGATGAAATTTCAAAATTTTTTAATCACATTATAGAATTATCTCTTCTTTAGTAAAATATTTTAACAGTTTTCATTCTCTTCTATAATTTGCTCTAAATTTGTGAATACTTAAATTATCCCTTTTGAAACCAATTTTTTTTAAATTATATTCGCATCAATTAGGTAAAAAAGGATGAATTTGCTAAATACGGGCCTTAAATTAATGTTTCAAGCTTTAAATAAAGTTAAATGAGCTTAATAAACGCTTTTCTTTGTTAAGAAATAAGACTAACTTCTAGATATCAGTATTTAAATGACATTGCAAGCCTTTTTATCCGAAGTAAAAACTACTCCTACAAAACCATTTAAATCTTAGCTTAGGTACTTAGTTTTATAAAATTTCCCAAATAAAACTGCATCTAATATTATTTCAAAAAATACTAATGCTTCGACTTGCTCTAGTAGTTACTAGTTAATCGTTTGCTGCACATTTTATGTAGGAATACTGCTGCTCTCCTTCTGCACATCTGTATTGTATGTAGAATTTTAGCACTTCTTTTCTAAACTATACAACACAATATTCTTTCACTTTTTATTTGTTTGTTTCACCGGTTGGGAATGGCCAGTCAAATTAATGTTGTGTCAGTCTGCTATACACTACTAAGCATTAAAATTATAAGGCTGGTCTTATACACTGCTTTTGTGAATGTTGGTTCAAAAACGGACGCCTGTCAGGACTTAACGCACGTATGACATTTTGGTCATTGTGTTTCCTAACTTCCACATGAGGAGAGGGAATTGAAATAAAGCATTAAATTGCGGTTCCAAGGACATACGTTCCCCACTGTATTATTGTACGTTCCCCACTGTATTATTGTCCGTCCCCTGACGCAGTACAAATGCACGTTTGCGTAGAATGACTCATTTGACTCAATATATTCAAAGTAAACGGATGTTTAGTTCGGAACGCAGGTATCTATCAAACGGACGCTCCTGGCGAGTATCCATTCATTCATAAACCGACATTAATTCAATAGATCTAGAAACGTCTGTTTTTGGACGTACGTTCACAAACGCAATGCATAAAACCAGCCTTGTTAGAGAAGTTATTTTTTTAAACATTGCAAGTTTAAATTAATAACATTTTACAAGAGGTGGTACGATTGAGATATCGCAAAACAAAATGCTGTAAAATAGTCAGTGACAATCCTACAACTGTAGTTACTCTTCAAAATATTTTTTTTGCTTAGTAAATATTTTAACTGCATCGGAACGAGTATAAAATGTTATTTAAGACTGCATTTTTTAGATAATATGGGTATATTTAATATAAAATAGAGCTTACAGAAATTACTATTCTGTGCCAATTTTGGAGCCAGAATTTAATAAAAGACGATACCATTTGTTTACAGATTACGTAGTATTTACTACATGTAAGAAATATATTATAAGATCTACAAATCTGTATTTTTTGTACCTACTAAAAAATGCAGTACATTGAGAGGTATTGCTCCTACTAAAAAATGTATCTTCTATGCCAAGATGGGCTACACGGAATATGAGGAACGATTTTGTAGAATCTTTTCTTTTATTTCTTTACCCAAAGAGTTCAACTTTGTTTTTCTATGCTTATTTAAAAATTTCAAATTTTAGGATTTTTATGTCACCGAGCAAAACCTCTTAACCTGGTATAAAAATTATTATATATAATTAAATTAAATCAATTATTTTTTATTTTGCAGAAGAAACCTGACTGGTCAAAGAAAGGCGATGAAAAGAAGGTACAAGAAGTCGAAGCATGATTTTCCAACCATGCCTGATCCCTTTTGTTATCCCATAGGGATATGTCTGTTCCCGTTGTTATCGTATAGGGATACGTCATAAAATCTATCTATATATAAATATATTTATTTTATTCATTACTTTCCAGACTAAAAAGTGTCTGTCTGCATGTATATTTGTTTATGTATATCTTATTAAAAAATGTCAAGGAATGTGTTTATTGTCTTTTGTTAAACCCTTTATGTTATGTCCCCTCTCCATGTTATTATTTATTTGTTTTCGTTTCCTTTTTATTTTTTAGTTAAATTTTGTTTAATTCATTTTATGTTTTGATTAATTTTATGTTTTAATTAGTTTTATGTTTTATTTAATTTTATGTTTTAAATAATTTTATATTTTAATTAATTTTATGTTTTACTTTTGACCCTTTAAATATTTTTTATTCTTTATTCAACATGTTGATTTTACAGAATATTCTCATTGTTTAAGCTTCAGCCATATTTTTATTGATCGGTCAGAATAAAAAACGACAATTTAAGCCAACATAACCAATTCTAGAATTAAAACCATACAAGAATTGCTTGATATATTAAAAATTTAAAAAGAGCTGATTAAATAAATTTTTGAATATATAGTTATAGAATATTTACGATAAGTTTAATATTTTTTCACATTTAATCCACAAACCTTTATGGAGTTAAATACGCAAGGAACAAGAAGAATTTAATTTTCAAAAAGTGCAAACCTTTACACTGTTGCCAGATTTAGTCGTTAAATCTTAAAATATATTTAGTATCCAGGTTAGAGTGAATTCTAAGTACTATTTTCAATTAATAGCTTCCAAAAAGTTATGTTTGCATTACTAGTTAGCAATAGCCTAGTGTAAAATATTAAAGTGCCTAAAAAACTTTATCTAGTCAACTTTAAGAAAAATTGTATAATTAAGAGATTATTTTAGATAGCAACATGAAAATGGAGATAGACTTTTCCACTTACTGATGTAAAAGAAGTAAATTGTAGTGTATACTCGTATATCCAATAATACACACCGTACAAAAAGTATCGCATCACAGGCAAAATTTCAAATATATTAAATTTCAAAACCGTTAATCTATATGCTTGAAATATTAAATATTAATTAGTTTAGGTACATGTTTTATAAATTTTAATGCTGTTTGTGGAAAATATACAGGGAAAATCATTATTACAGCAAAATGAAACCGAAATAATATAGAAAATTAAGGTTTCTAGTACCTGGTGTTACCTTTTCGAGCTTTAATTGTGGCCTCCATTCATCTTGGTTTGCATTCAAAAAGGTTTTGAATGTATTTTGTATTCATATTTTCGCAAATAATAATTTATTTTGTAATTCACTGTAGCATCCATCCTAAATGGTCCCACACGTGCGCTATGGAAATAAAATCTGGACTCTAAGCAGGCCAATGTAGTGTGATACCACAGGAAGGTATTTACTTACCTACTACCATGGTAGCACTGCATAAACATGAAATTGTCACCTATGAATAGTCCATATGGAACAACATATGGTTCCAGAACGTCACTTTATGTATTTTTTTTACTGTTGTCTGCCATCATTTAGCGCTACCAACTCCATCCACCCTTGAAAAGACATTATGTCTCTTGCCATAATCGATATGCTACCAAAACTATCAGTCTGTTTAAAATTACATTGCAGGTATTTACCTGGGCGTCTGTAGGCTGGCATACGTTTGTCAGAGGCACAAACACAAAATATTGATTCATTTAAGAAAAGAACTTTAGATCAGTCTTCCAAACCCCTGTTAGCATGTTCTCTAGCAAAGTCTAGCCGTGCAACTCAATGTTCTCTGGTTAAACGAGCACCCATGGCTGGTACTCTTGTTCTAATAATATTATCCTCTCTCAGATAATTAATTACTATTTACCTACAATCATGAATATTTCTGGAGTTTATTTTGTAGGATCCGGGCTGTGCAATGACGCTTTCTTAAGACTGCAGTGGTTGTTTTATTACGCCCCTATGCCATTGTTTGATGAATGCCTTTCACAATACCTCAGCAACTCCACAGAAGGGTTCGGTGCCTGTCATGGCCCTATCTGAGCTTTCTCAAGCTAGTTCGTTGGCCTTTTCGTTGCCCTGATATCCTTAGTGCCACTGGCATCCAGGCTATGTTTATCTTGTTTCGACTACCAAGCTCTGCCAGGACTTTTAGACGGTCTTTCACCAGTCGTGATTTGATTTCTGGTGAGAGAGGTGTCATAAGAATTTCTTTGCTTAGATGGCAATATCTTTGCCTGGTAGTTGCAGATTTACTGTTTTTATTTTACAGTGTTGTATGTCTATTAGTTCAGCTTGAAACATTGCTGCGTATTCTCCCGGACGCAGTGAAATCGTTGTTTTTGACTTAGGTTCAAAGATTTCAGCACCGGCACCTTTCTTGGTTTTTGAACCGCCTGTATACCAGACAAGTTCAGCCTGTATGGGAGGTCTTTGTTTTCATGGTTCTCCAGCTGGTATTTGGATTTGAAAATTTATTTCAAATTTGTCTGTAACTATATCAGGCATTCCTAGAATCATATCTTTTTTACTTGCTGGTATATCTTGAATAGTCAGCGCTATGTAGTTCGCTTATTGGATTTTATCCCTGAATTAGCCTGTGAATAACGGACCTGGTTTTTCTTTGTATGAAGATGTGCAGCGGCGTGAGGTTTAATGTTACCAACATTACTACAGTTCTTGTAGTTCCCACTGAGACAGGCGAGCCGCTAAATGACCTATGGCTTATTACCCTTGCCTACGCAGTTTTGATTATCCACGTCGCTGCGTCGTAGGTTATTATGAGTCTTATCACCCTTGTGTATACCCATATAGTAATCTTTTCTCGCATATTCTTCTACAGCTTACGAGAGCTGTTGTGCATGGGAGTTTTTTGAGATGTTGATGTCAGCCTTTGGTCAAATAGGTAGTTGGCTTTCATGGCAAATGGAATAATCATGTTGTTTAGTAATAGTGGTGTTAGTCCTGTAAGTACTCGTTGGTTTTGTGAATGGTTTAACTGTTGTTTTTTGTGCGATATTGGATAATAATTGCACCTTTTTGCAACATATATTCACTATGTTTAGAGCTATATGAGAACACTACAAAACTGTACCTACAAATCGCCCCCAACGATAAATGCTAGGTCATCCGCGTATCCTAGGTACTTGTAGCCTTCTTTGGACAATGTTTTGAGTAGGTCGTCCACTAGAACTAACCACAGCATTGATAATAGTACTCCTTCTTCTAGACAGCCCCGTGTAACTTTTACCTGTATGGTTGCTTTTCTTAGAGTAGATAAAATGATCCTATTATCTAGGCTGACAGTAATCCATAAGCATATTGTCATTGAGACGAAAATTAAATTTTTAATAACTCTACAGTGACAGGTTATTGCTTGTCGCCCGTAACATTGTCATCCGCTATTTATCTCTTGCGATAAATCGCTGACACGCGTGGCCGTAAAAGATTTAAATTTTTGGTCAGTTCAGTGACGTAGTCGTCGAAGATCATCTATTATAATAAATATACAAAAAAATTAACGAATAATAATTATTCACTTAATGATTAATGACAAAGTTGAAAGCCTTATAAACCGTAAAATCGGAAAATCGCAAAATTTATCTACCAAAGTTTTATTGTCTAGGTATTACAAGTAAATAACAAAGAAGACAAAAACTATTGTTGACATTTGTTTCGAGAATATTATAAAAATAAGTGATGCGATAATTTTTGTGCCATATGTATCTTTATTAACTCATAAAATGTAAGTAAGAAAATAGATATGGTCGAACTTAATAATAAACTACTTATTAGGTATATAATGGGGTTGGTACGAATAACTCCTTAGTAGATACAATTTATACCTAATATTTATACCCAATATCCTTATTAAGCATTTAAAATTAAATAAATTTATATTGTATGTCGTTAAAAATGTTGGTAGAGATTTTTGAAATTATTGCGTCTCATTCTACAATATTTTGGTTTTTGTGATGTTGCCTGCCTTCAATAACAAAATCATTACTTTTCGATTGAAATCGTAGATATATCAAAACTATTTGCTAGTTGTAGTTGTAGCCGTAGTCGTAGTAGTTGTCGTAGTCGTAGGTGTAGTCGTAGTTGTAGTTGTTTAAGAAAATTTATCCAAATTCTGACAAATAAATATGAAATACATGATTAGTGTTTAAAACTCCTCAAAAAATGTACATGTCAACTACCTAATGTTTAACGATATCACGTCATCTTAAACTTATCGTAAAAATTCTATGGATTAAAAATCATAAATATTAATTTGCTAGTAAAATATTTTTATAGTTATCGGAGTAACTCATTTATTTTATCCCTGGAGTAGAGGTTGTTGCGCGATGTCAATTATTACTACTCAAAAGGTAATAGTAACATGTATATACTATCTCCTAAGATTTTTTTAATTTTTTTAAATTCTGAGGTTTAATTTTTTTTTGAATATAGTATAATTTGTAAATTAAATAATTAAAATAAGTTAATCGAAATCTATAAGCAGCAAGTCAGCAACCCAATTATTGGATAACTAAAAATTTATAGATATTTAAAATAGTTCTGGATATGAATGAAATTTTAGTTCTTATTTTTAATTTATTCATCTTTGGGGACTAATAAATTAACAAATTACGGTATCAGCTAAACTACGATACTAAAGGGTCTTTCATTAAGAATTATATAATTTTAATTTTAAATGAAACAACGTAGGTTTGACATCTTAAGCGCGAACCGGAACTCTCACCAAAGCAAACATATTTAATTGTAATAATTTATAAACACGACACTGGGAATACTTTGAGATATTATGTTTCTCGAGAATATAGAGAGCTCTAAATTTGTATAATGAAGACGTTTAAGAAAAAAAGGTGGAAAACCCTCCCACTTAAAAACTACTAGATATTTATTAAAACCAAGGCTTACAAAAAATTCAAGGTATCTCACAAACGGACTAAAAATAAAGACTCAGAAGGAATTATAAATTTTTAAGGTTTGCTCTTAATTCTTGCTTTATTTTGAAGCTTGGACAATTCAGTTATGTTTGAAATAAAATATCGTTCAAATTTTCACCACGGCTTCGTTGATACTGATGCACCTGATCGCTCCAATTTCTGATCACTCTGTGCAATAATTCTGGTTGTATTTCGTCAGTTATTGGACGAATATTCTTTTCCAAGTGATACAAAGTCTTTTGGTACCTATAGACTTGTGCTTTCACATATCTCCAAAGAAAATAATCCAGGGGTATCAAATCACATAACCTTGGCGGCCTATTTACAATTTCTCGTCGTGAGATGATCGAATCGCCAAACCTTCCTCTTAGAAAAGCGAACGTAACATCAGATGTATGGCACGTAGCGCCATCTTATTGGAATCACATCTATTCAATGTTGATATTCTCAAGTTCTGGCCATAGAAATTCGAGTAACATGGTCCTATAGTAGTCGCAACGAAACTTCATGTAACACTTCTGGGTTGTCCTTGCACCAATAACGGCAATTTTGCTTATTAACAAAGCTATTTAACTAAAAATGTGCCTAGACTAAGAAGATGATTTTTTGGCCAAAATCAGGATCGCGTTCAAAGTGGTCTAGGACAGGGTCAGCAAACTCTCAACGCAGTCTGTAATCATTTGGTTACAAGGTTACAAGGATGCAATCCCAGATCCTTATCTAATATTCTCCAAGAGATATCTGAGAAAGCCCCAGTTGTTGCGATCGTTGTGAAATCTACAACCCTGGCCGCTGCAGCTACATGTTCTCATCACTTCGCACGTTTCACACGTATAACCTCACAATATATCCCCTGTAGTAGTGCATATCATTTGTTAAAGAGATTTCACTAAGTTTGCAGCGCTAAAAGCGACTGGTCGCTCAACTAACTCGATATGACGGTAAATTCAAATATAATTTTAAGGCGAAATTTAAATTTCCCTCCAAAATAGTAAATTTCCAAAAATAGTAAAGTGGCGGGAATTTTGAAATATATTCATTTGGCAATAATTAAGAAGTATATTGTATGTTCCATTAAACGAGCTGTAAATCCAGGCGCTATTTTTATTTTGATAGCTAAAAATAATACTAGTTTTATTGTTAGCTATTACAATAAAAGCAGCGTTTGGATTAACAACAAATTTAAAAGAACATGTAATATACTTTTCAATTTTACCTGAATCACTTATTTTTTTACCAATAGAGGCTAGATCTGAAAAAAAAATGGCCCTGGCATAAAAAAGGAAAATTGTATAAAATATTTTATTTGAAAAATTATAAAACTTATTTAATTTATTTTAAAGTCAAGGATAACTCTAGCCACATCCATTTTACTGAAAGAAAAAAAGAAACACTGTTAAATCATTCGTTAGTTATTAAGAGATGTTTGTGATAATACAGTGTCGGCTATCGACTGTTTTACAATACGTTTTCTTAATGTCCAAGTGAAAACTACAATGAGTTAGCAAGAATGAATAGAATACTATGAACGTAGCCAGCCGGTTGCGTGGGGATGTTCATATTACCTGTTCATATTACACAGCACACAAGGCAACATTCATATTATTTGTTTCCTGATCGCACTAATGCTAACTCTATAGGTTTTGCTTCGATGCTAGCAAAGCGTACTGGAAAGTGTTCCAATAGCCGATACTGTATATAAATGCTAAAATTAACAAGTGAAATAAAAATTTGTAGTTTAAATGGACACCTACTTCGAAATAGGAGAAAAACTGAAACAGTAAATTATTATACTTGAATTTTAAGAGCTGGAAAACTATTATCTAGGTCTTGGATGATAGCCATAGGACTCCCTACTTGAATCGTGTCCATAGGAAAGCATAAGATCTTAGTTAAATATAATATTAGAGGGTATTAACTAAAAAATATGAAAAATTATTACAAACTTACGTCAAAAGTGGCACCTACATTAAACGAAGGGAAATCTGAATCATAGAATTGATATACATGAATTTTAAAAACTTTTCCCACTGGAAACAAAAAATTATCACTTGTCAATACTGACACTTCACGCTTCGCTTGTCAAAAACTTCGTCTTCAACCAATGAACGTGCCGATGTCAGACGTGTCAAAATTCAAAACGTTACTAGCGCCATGTGGCTGTGTGTCTGGCCGCAGCGTAACTCAAAACCATTTCTTGAATCCCACTGACATTACACTATAGGGGACATATAAGGTCTTTTCCTTTGCATCGACAGTGTAGCACTGAGCTACGTCACTTCTGAAAATATTGTTCCATCCATACAATTTGTATAAATGGAACGATATTTTCAGAAGTGGTGTAGCTCAGTGCTACACTTTCGATGCAAAGGAAAAGACCTATTGTGTATAACCTTCGCAAGGTACCAATGAAGGTGGCCCAATTCTCGAATGAATAAACGTTGAGTGCCCACAACTGAGCTACCACTTTGGTAATATATTTTTATTACTTCCAACCAAAGATATCTTCCAACCGATCGATAGGAATTAAACGCTGCATCATGAAATTGAACACTATAGTAAATATAGTTACGCCTAGAAATAAAAAAATATGTATTAGAAAACGAGAAATCTCTATTTTAAAAACTATCACCCATATTGAAAGACCCTTTAGAACACATATATCTTATATCCTGAAAATTACCAAAAAATGAGTATTAAAAAGAATTATTTGTTATTATATCTACTATAAGAGTCGTACATTAATACTATTTATCGTAATAACAGATATAATAAAAAGCTGCAAATCAAAAAATCTTGCTGAAAACAAAACGCAAATTTATTAAATAAAGCTTATACAATATATAGTCTTATTTATTAAAGCATATAATTAAAAATTCATTTAAATATTTTAAATTACTGATTTTTTAATTGTTTTTTATTTTTCAGGAGGCTGAAGGTAAGACACTGTGTTATTGAAAATAAAACATTTTATATATATTTTTTTTTATTCCAAAAAATACAGGGTGTTTTATAATATATGCGCAGGACTTCGGGACGTGATAGCTCGTCAAAAATATGAAAAAACGTTTTTATTAACTTACCCTCTAAAATGCACCATTTTCGAGATACAGGGTGTTGAAATTGAAAAAAAAAATTCTACGCCACTGGAAAACGTACGGTTTTGAGACGCCTGTTTGAATCGCCAATGTTTTCTACACAAAAAAAGGTACTCTTGGTCATACGCTCTAAAGTCGACCGTTTTCGAGAAAAATCAAATTTTGTTTAATCAAGTATGTATGACCATGTATTCCAATATTAAAATTTGATTTTTTTCGAAAACGGTCGACTTTAGAGCGTATGACCAAGAGTACCTTTTTTGTGTAGAAAACATTGGCGGTTCAAATGGGCGTCTCAAAACCGTACTTTTTCCAGTGGCGTAGAATTTTTTTTTTTTTCAATTTCAACACCCTGTATCTCGAATGTGGTGCATTTTAGAGAGTAAGTTAATAGAAACGTTTTTTCATATTTTTGGACGAGCTGAAGTCCTGCGCATATATTATGAAACACCCTGTATATGCCTAATTTCTAAACTTACTAATTCCATGACTAAGATTGGCAGCTTTAAGAAAAATAAAGTAACTTTATCTTCAATGAGAATAGACAGTTTTAAAATGCAAGCTTTATTTTTATGCCTCCACTTTTACGTAGATATATATTTTATTTTTCTTTTTCCGTCAGTTATAAAATATCCACATAATTTTATGTTTTTCATGACATCAACTAATATTTATCATTGATTAACGTCATTTAAAAACAAAATATATACAGCATGTAAAGTTTTGTGGTCCAAAGTTGTTTCTTTATACAATATCATTAAAAATGTGGAAATCTCAAAAGCACCTCCACCTGAACCTGCACCTCCAGCGGAAGGTCAACCCCCAACAGAAGGTGAAACACCTGCAGAAGGAGCACCTCCAGCAGAAGGAGCACCTCCAGTAGAGGGCCAACCCGCAGGAGACCAACCTCCAGTAGAAGGAGGTCAACCTCCTACAGAGGGAGCACCTCCAGCAGAAGGACAACCACCAGCAGAAGGTGAACCACAAAAAGAGAAAACGCCTGAACCTCCTCCAGAAACAGGTTAGTATCAAATTGAAAATTTATATTAAACAGTTACTTGATATGCGCCATCGGTAGTTGAAAAAGTTATAATTCATCAAAATAAAAATGTGAAAATGTGTGTTTGATTATTCTAAATACTTGAAGTTTTGAATATCTAATTCAGGTAACGGCAATCAGAGTCCCGCTACAAATTTTTGTGTGGCTCGCCAAGCATTAACAAATTACATTAAGTTAGGATCTGCAAATTGCTGGAACCACCTAGAACAACCTAGAACAGTTATAAGCAAACTTCAATTTGAATTTAAGGATGCACTCATCCAAGCAACTTGTAGTAGTTCGTTTGTCATGTTGTGTAAAATTAGAGCTTTAAGAATGGATGTTATCAAGCCAAAGTACAGAACAAGAGGTTGACCAATTTACAAAACATTCTAAGGATCTGCCAAACAGCCTGCTACCAAATATCGCAAAATTATATAATGGCAAAAATTAAATTGTTCAGCAGGTTAGGTCGATAGGTCAGTCTGTCATACTTTGCAAACTCTAACAGAATGGTTTAGTGACCACAACGTAACTGTTCTTTCTTTGGCTTCCAATAGTGCTGACCTTAATGTCATTGACCAGTATAACATACAAAGAGACACATATTAAAGAACAACTCACAAGAACTTAAGTCAAAAAAGAGAAGATTTCATCTTTATTATCATCTCAAAAAAATTTTAATAAAACTACTAAATAATGTTTTTTTTTTTTTGATCATGCGGCCCGCCTAAAAATATTTCTTTTTAAAGTGGCCCCCACTGTCCTAAAAATAAAAGGGTTGCCGACTCTTGTTCTAATTGATTAAATTTTCTTGTACCTTAATTCTCAGTAAATCTCACTTTGCATTTAGAGAAATGTAACGACTGCCAGATGATTTTAAATAATTGGAATAGTTGGTCATACTGATGACAATTCTATTTGTCGTGAGTCGTAAGTACCTATTCCATAGATGGTTGTAAACACAAATAGAAAAATAGAAAAAAAAAGAACATTTTAATACGGCATATAGGTGTGACATAAGAAAAATCCCGCCCAAAACAAACACTAGGTAAATACAAATATCCTACTTATAGATGACAAATGACAGGCGCGCGAAAATTAACTTGAATCGCGAATAATGAAGCTTGCACATTTAAAAGGTCACCCGATTTTAATGCTAGACTCTTCTACTTTTTAATTCGGTAATATGTAATGAATTGTGTGACTTAGGGCCAATCTTTTCACCTCTGAGTAAAGTAAAAAGTAACTCCTTGCTGATTAAACTATAGAGCTATTGTTCGGTAATCTATTAAGTAAACCTACACGTAACTTTACTCAAAGATGAAAAGATCGGCCTTTAGTGTTTAAAAATCGAGGACAACTTTTAATTGTAATTATTAAATAAACAATAATTAAAGAGATGTAGTAAATAATGTTTCTTAAACTTATAATTAATGCTATTTTTACCAATATATTTTGACTAAACTATCTGGGGACTTTAGATTTTCGGGTTCCTAACGATATCAAATTTCATTCTGTCGATTGCCATAAGCGATAAAATGCATCAGCACCGAGTATTCTTTTACAAAATCGCGCCCTTATTTAAAACATTTAAGTACGTGCAATAGGAAAATGAATTTTTCATATGCTTAGCACACGTCCGGTCGCTAAATTTTCATTTGAGCTCCACTTACATAATTTTCAGTTGTTAAATTCCCAGAAAAGAGAAAATCAGTCCTCAAAATCTGTCATTATCTGACGGTCAATAAAATGTAATTATATACAAGACACTAGAAATATAACCTATAAAATGACAAATGGAGCATAATAATATGAAGGTCTATTTTAATGACTGAAAAAGATTAGAATTGAATAAAATAATGAACTGTTATTATATAACTTTAACAAAATATATAGAGTCACATTTTTTAAAATTGATAATTATTATGGTTCTCTAGGATTCGAAACATTCAAGAAACTAGTAATAAATGAAAATTACGACATTATAACATTACCAGAAAATATACTAGCACCCACAGATGACAAAGAGGCAGTCTCCATCCCAAATTATTCACTTGTGGAGAATCGTAGGGGAAGCGGGGATGGGGTTATTATGTACGTCAAAGATTCCCTAAAATATAAGGTCGTTGATTTAACTACTGGTGGTTCTGAAACTGAACACGTAAGTTTCGAAGATTTATTGGAGAAATTAAAGAAGAATGGTAAGTGTTCAATTGATGGATATTTCGTCATCGTCAACTTCATCTTCATTGTGCTCATCCTTCATACAATAACAGTATTGTCATTATCAACTTCATTTTTGTCGTCAAATTCATCTCCAAATTCAAATCAAATTTCGTATTCAAGGTATTCAAAATGGAAATACACTGTCATTCTACAAATTATTTTTAACCACCTATTTATGTAGCGAAATTTTAAGCAAAACGATTAAGAATGAAATCGTTTCATCATCATCTTCTTCATCATCAATCATTTGCAGTAAAGCATTATTCACTGTTGTCATCTTCATTAGTTTTTTTATCAATCTAATTAGAGATATAAAATTTGTCAAGGTCATGCGGCGGAAGCTGCCGCACTAGCAGCAGCAGCAGAAGGTGCACCTGCTGAAGGGGCTGAAGGTGTTGCGCCCGCTGAAGGTGCTGCACCTGCTGAAGGAGCAGCACCTGCAGAGGGTGTTCCCGTACCTGAAGGAACTCCAGCACCAGTGGCACCAGCAGAAGGTAGGGACAATTGCACAAACAAAATGATATGTTTGTAGGTAATATGTAAAATTATTATAGATGCAGTACAATTTATTATGTGTGTTGTGTTTTTCATTTTGTTAACTAAGAAATGTCTATCCGATGATAAAAACTTTTTTTCGCCATTATACAGGGTGTCCCAATGAAAAGTAGCCCGTTTCCATTTGATAAAATTTGGTTACGGTGAATTTAAAAGAAGAGATTTTTAAAAAACATCCTGTATAAGTAGTACATAATTTCTGCGTCACTGAAGCAAAACTTATAGCAAAATAACACATATTAGCAAAAACCGCACGTTTCTACGATTTGTTTAAAAGTTATAAACTCTGAAAATGGGCTACTTTTCATTGGTACACCCTGTATATCATTGATTTAATACATTAGCATCTTTATCGGCAGACCATCTAGCTGTCTTTTTATAGTAACAGCTTTGGCTGTGGCTCACGTTCTTAAGTGAGGGTTTCCCAAGAAATCTAATACTGGGATGTCAATATACCTTGTACTACCTTTACAACCTCGCATGTACAGCTTTGCGAGACGATTGTTAAAGTCTTCAGAAGCAATTGCGTACCATCTGCTCTCTCTACTTCAACAAAAACTAATTAGGATATTATCAGTTTTTTGAAATACGAGTGTCAAAAACTTTTAATAATTTTGAAAATGGATTCGAAGTCAGCATCAAATTCTCTAAAATATTCTCCATTTAACGCAACTTCTATCTCGTATTTTAAGCGAGATACCAATATAGAGACTCAAATTTGGAACACAGGGTAGATACTTTAATGGTGTCTGGTAACTCATAAACAAACCTTCAAAACGCGCTTCAACAAACTGTACCTGTATTTGTCTATGGTACATACTATATAGTTTTTATTAAATATTGAATATATTGTGTAAACTTTAAGGTGCACCACCAGCAGAAGGAGCTGCCCCAGCTGAAGGAACCGCGCCTGTGGAAGTAACACCTGTTCCAACTGAAGCAGCAGCATCACCTGCAGAAGGTGTCACAGCCACAGATGAAGCAGCACCTGCAACAGAAGCAGTATCAGTTGCAGAAGCGGCACCTGCGGAAGAAGCACCTGCACCAACACCTGCAGAAGATCCAGCGGAATCCGAGTCTCTCGCTCCGGAAGCGTCGTCCGCTATTTCGTCGCCACCTATTATAGAAGGTGAAGATTCTGATGATGAAGATGTTTGTTTTGTGTCTTCTTATCATCGTACTGTGTATCGCTCATCTCATTATTCATCCATTGTGTCTAACATAGGTTGAGTGTCGTTTTTATTCTACGTTCTTTTTATAACATAGGTATGTATGTTAAAAAATATGTTGTCTACTAAAAGCTCAATCATGTTACTTATGAAATTATCAGATCAGATCAGACCACAGCCATACGAAACTATCAGAATTTTCATTTTCATGTTTAGATGTTTAACATATCCACAAAAACTACTACTATTTCTATGGGCTGCCCGGGAATTTTGAAATTGTCTAGGTTTGTCTGTCGCCGCTAGGATACCTGCTCTTATGATTTTTAATTCCGAGTATTTAACTCTGTGTTACATGAGAGAAATACTGTATTATTTTAATGTAAGAAAATAATTATTTCAAAGATTGTATTATTTTAATATATACCAATATAGCCGCAAAACACCGTGAATCTGGCGAAAAGAACAACATACAGTATTGGCGGGATCCTACTTAGCTTGTATTGAAGTGAATAGTAAATAGCGCTGGCACATGCAGGAAAATAAACGACAATATCAACGTTGCCAGTGACATGTAGAGTCACTGGTCAGTCCTCTCCTAGACATGCGAACGCCATTTACTTAAACTTCAGCAAAGTAGGACTGTAAAGTTTGATCTTGTCAGCACTGTTTAAATTTATAAGGAACATGAATGAGCTACTAGTAGAATATATATTAAAAATATATATGTAACTTCTAAATTATATCAGTCCAGCTTCTATATATGTCTTAAGTATATGTTACTAATTCATGCTTTTTTGTTTATTTAGCTGCTGCTTAGACCTAGGATAAGAAGAGTCAATGTTTTTAAGCATTAATAATTAAGTGTCCATGTTGTTTTGAACAATATTTTATTTAAAATCGTATTTATATTGTACCTCGACTTATATATTATATATTACTGTAATAACCACAAGTAGATATTAAGTGATGTATTATTTTTATTTCTTAATGAATACTTAATGTTATTTAGTAGTTAATTTTCTCCAACAAATATTTTGAAAATAAATGATTTTCATATTCCTTAGTAATTTTAATTACTGAAGGTTTCTTTTTTAGCAGTCTTACTTTTTTATGAGCCTTAAATTCTAAATCAAAATTAAATGATTTATTAATCAGAATCAGTATTTAAAATCAGTAGAGACACTTTAAAACAATTGAAACAGTTGAAATTGTAAAAAAAATAATGACCAATTTAATATTATTATCATTTTCCAATAAGTAGCGATGCCGCGAGACGAGACGGGACGAGAGAGGCCTCTCTTGTCTCGTCTCGTAGGGCGAGGGAAAACTGTTTCTCGTCTCGTCTCTTCCCGTCTCACGTGATAAAAAAAATTAAATTTGGAAAAGATGTACTTAGGACGAAACATGAAAACCAAAACAAAGAATATTTTTGAGTAATTTGTCTCATTAGTACCTACCCAAATTGGCAAAAAGTAACTGGAGGGTGGGGGGCTGATGATGCCATCGTGTGATATCAAATGAAATCATTTTGAAGCATGTTTTCAAAACTATATAATACGTTCATTTTTTTTTACTTTTCCTTCGACAGTTTTTCGAAAGCACGCTTAAAAACTGCTGTCTCTCCAACTTCTCTCCAAAAGTAACCTCAGAAAATTATTACAATTGGATAGTTTTTTAAACAAAGAAAGCTCTGCTGTAAGGATATTTAGTATCAGCGCCTACCAGCTAAATCTATCACATATCCACTTTAACTAATTTAAAACATCTACGGTACGGAACACTAGAGAGTTATTGCAAGTTCACTTAAAGTCAGTCACTATTAGCGCCGCTCTTATTTTGACATCTGAACATGCGCAGATCGTTTAAGATTTAAAACTGACTTCATTAAAGATAGTGCCAGTCCTTAATTGTGGATGTTTAACGGCAGCAAATAGTATCGACTTTATAGCTTTCGGGTGCGCTCGCCAACATTCGTATCAGTTTGAAATTTTCTAATATTATATATTTTATCGGGCACGGTGGTGTAGCGGTCTATCGCGCTTATATTCATTTATAGGCAAGTTTATGAGTCTGAGACTGCTGGGTTTCGAGTCCCAGACCGGACCATGTGGATTTTTAATTAAATTGCATGGTTCGGTTTAGGATTTGATGTGTGGCGTATTAATAGAAATTCAATTTCTGTTGATATGACATGCAGATTAAAAAAATTCGCCATACATTACCGTCTCGATGATGGTGGGTGAGGTTTTCCGGGTTTTCCTCACCTGTAAGTCAAATGGCACCATCAATCATCTTTAAGTCGCCCCGGAGCGCCACGGCAAATAATAATAATAGCCGTCCCTTTCCCCTGACAAGCTCAGCTTTTGGGGTTAAAATTCACTCGTAAGGGGGTGAATTAGGGAGAGTATTATTATTATTATTATTATAATATAAAGTCATCTAAATTGCCTAAAATTACCATTTATTATACCTCTGATGAGGTTAGAAATAAAGACAATGATTCTAATGTAAAAACTTAAATTCTGGACAGGGATTCTTATGTGCGAACTCAACACGTTACGTGTTGAATAAAGAGAGACATTACATAAGAATCACATTCTGTCGAACAAAGATAGAAGCTTCTCAACACGTGCCGAACTGAAAGATGAGAATCCCACTGCAGGTTTGCAATATGGAATGGAATTTATTTGACTGTCACTATTAGTGGCTGACGTTATAGAAATTTGCAATAGAGAGTTATTGCAAATTTCTATAATGTCAGCCACTAATAGTGACAACGTAATTAGAGGCAAATAAATTCCATGCTAAAATAAGACTTATTGCAAACCCGAAATTTTGACATTAGAGAGTTATTGCAAGTTCACTTAAGGTCAGTCACTATTAGTGCCGCTCTTATTTTGACATGTGAGCATGCCCAGATCACTTACTTTAAAAATGATTGTGCCTGTTCTTAATAAGAGAGTTGTTGCAAGTTCACTTAAGGTCAGTCACTATTAGTGCCGCTCTTATTTTGACATCTAAGCATGCTCAGATGTTTATGTTCTAAAACTGACTTTATTAAGGATTGTGCCTGTCCTTAATTGTGGACGTTTAAGGGCAGCAGGTAGTGGCGACTTTATAGCTTTCAGATGCCCTCGTCGACATTCGTATACGTTAGAAGTTTTTTAATATTAAATATTTAATATAATCGTCATTTAAACCTTCTAAAATTATAATTTCTAATGCCTCTTTAATATTATGTACTATTATAGACAACAAAAAAGATGAACTATAATTTAAAGTTATTAAAATAAGATTAGAAATAAGTATAAGGACGAGGATTCAATGTCAAAATTTCAGGTTTGCAATAAGTCTGATTTTAGCATGGAATTTATTTGACTCTAATTACGATGTCACTATTAGTGGCTGGCTTTATATAAATTTGCAATATCTCTCTATTAAGGACAGGCACAATCTTTATTAAAGTTAGTGATCTGCGCATGCTCAGACGTCAAAATAAGAGCGGCACTAATAGTGACTGACCTTAAGTGAACTTGCATCTACTATTGCCACAGTTTAAAAGAATCAGTTAGCTCACTTGGACCAGTTGAATGTTCCAAAATAATATCCACTCCAGGGATACAAATTCAGGATGCGCAGAAGACTGCTGTTTGAATATCGGCGGTTGTCATATATTGTATTGGTTATGATTTGATTCTGTATGCGCCAGGGATACAAATACGAGTTGCGCAGTGTATAAACTGAAACATTGAGATCAAAAGTGCCGACGCAGAGTGAGCGAACTGATTCTTTAGCTATAAACTGTGCTATTGCGCTATTTCATTTGGTCAAACTTTTTATTTCGCTTTAAAACTTGTTTGGAAATGACTTGTTTGTCTATTGTCTGGAATAATTCGCGATATAAAAAATTTCTGTAGGTTACCTAACAAGTTGTACAATATAAAATCTGACACAAAAAGTGTGTTACAAAAAGATTTATACAAATGGATAAAAGTTAATCTTACATTTCACAATAAAAAAAAAAATTCTTAAAAAGTTAAAGCAAAAAAATTGATAAAAATTCAAAAATTTATAATAGGTACACACTTATCGATTGAATTATATAGAATAGAGTTGTAACCTACCTCACCCAGGTATCTTAATAATTTACATTTACGAAAAATCTTTTAGATAATTAAATCCTATCTATGATGCTTAATAAATAAAAGCAATACATCTGTTCGCGGTGTATCTAATCTAACAGAAAATATAAAAAGTTATCCCATGAGAATTCGGTGCACCAACCTGCATAAACATATCAATTTTCACGAAGAAATAATCATTAAAACACTTAACCTGCTTATTTTTCTGGTTTGGAATGTTAAGACCGATTTTCGACAAGATTTCGATAAGTTCTCAAGACGCATAATAAATCTACCATCCCTTTATCCACCCAAATTCGTTCCAATCGAAGTTACGACAAACTGACGTCACAAAAAGTCATTAAAACGGGTATAAAGACCCAAACCCGAGGTTTCGAGGGATTTATTATGATTTTATATAGATTCATTATTATTTTATATTCAGCATTATGATTTTATATTCATCCAGTTATATTGCAAGTTCAGTATTCAGTACCTTTCCTAAATCGACGCTCTTCCTAACCGACGTATATCCTACAATACCTCCTATCGCCCAAACGATGTCCAACATCCCGACGTCTTACTTTCCTTCCTTTCTACATCCCGAACGCTGTCATCTCCCACACCACTTAAGTGTTTTCTACCTCATATCCTTCCCGACCCTTAACGTCCTGACGTCCGACGTCCGGAAGACCAACGTCCCGACGCTCCACTTCCCTACTTTTCGACATCCTCAACGCTGTCACATCCCGCACCACATAAGTGTTTCCTACCTTATATCTATCCCGACGAGCTATCTCCCGAACGCTTTCACGTTTCGACGATCAACGTTCAATGCCTTACTTTTCGATGCTTGTCATCCCTAAATATTTCCTTCACAATATCCTTGACGACACCCTTCGTCACGCAGCACCACCAAGTATTTCCTACGGTATATCTG